TGTGAGCCTAACGTAACAGACATGTAATTGTGCAACTTGCCTAAATTGAAGAAAAAATTACATATTGTCTTCACTACAAGATAAGATGTCAATTAATACTTACAACAATGGGCTTTTATACAGGATTAAGCAAAATTGTTGGGAATTCTGGAAGTTTAATAAGTTCCCTTACGGAGGAATGATGTCAGCTCGACGTCGAGAATATTCGATAATTTGTTTCTGTTTGTTTCCTAGCTACTAGGCTTGGGGCATCCTCGCGCGTGCCTAGTTACCTTTGAATTTGACGTCAAAGTGAATATTAAGTAGTCTTGGTTCAAGTTGGAACATAAGTAGATTAGTGGAATTATTGACGGGTTTGTTCGGTCCGGGCGCTAACACTGGCCTAACTAACAGCTGCATTGAAGCGTCTCTCGGCATGCGCTGAAAAGATCGAGGAAGAAGTGAGGAGAAAGAGGAAAAAGCCAGTAGAAAGAAGGAGAGAGAGAGAGAAGGAAGAATTTTTAAAAAATGGAATGAAAAGGAAAGACACAAATGGAAGGAAAAATGGCAAATTTTGTGAGAAAATGAGACGGAGAGAAAAAGAGAAAGACGGGGGCAGGAAAGGGAAAGGAAAATACTAAACTAAACGTAGGCACCGACTAGAAGGAAAGTATTAAGAGAGAATAGAGGAAGGAGAAGACGAGCTAATAAAGAGAATGGATAATACTATATTATAATATGATACTACTATCAACAACGAAAGTAGCGACCCTTCAATGACTTGGCCCACATACCTCATTTCTGAGCTTTACTTGAAAACTTTTTTGATCATGCTAAATCTGAAACTCACCTATATCATACCTGCATGCACTTCAATTCTTTTCCATCTTTCTAATCATGCACACAAGGAGAGAAGTTTGATATCCTGGGTATATTAGGAAGATATATAATTTTGAATAATTTTTTAAAAAAATTTGTTGCAATTTTCCCCAGATTTTCTAATTAGCATATGATTTCCCTCTCTCTCGCTGTGTGCCTATGTCTATCTGCATCTCTGTTTATCTGTCTTTCTCTTTGTCTCCCTGTCTCTCTAGCTCTCTCCGATTCTCTGCCTCTCTCTCTCTCTCTCTCTCTCTCTATATATATATATATATATGTTTACGATTTCGGTGCCTACAATTATTATTCAGATATGAGATTTGATAAAATGAGTGTCATTGCAATTATTTTCAACTGAACCACACATAGACCACTGATACTAGATAGTGCAAGACAAAAATATTTAATATTGTAATACAAATCAAAGATGACATGAATATTGATAACACATTCCATGGAAAGATCAGTAGAAAAGAAATGTCCACAAATATTTAAAAAAATAATTTGTAACGCAAAAAGTATAACGAAACTAAATAACTGTAAAGAATGCTAATGAAGCGCAAGCTACATTCAACTTGTAATTGAAGTTTACCCCCAAAAGGCTTTAAAATAATACATTAATTAGTTAGTTTTACCCCCCCCCCCCTCATAGTACTTGCTGCCTCTTAACTCATAGCCTGCCATGAGGCTGCATGCACGCTACCTATTGAGTGCCATATGTGCGTGCAAGGGCGCTTTCGTAATAGCAGTTATTGTTCATGTTCGTTGGGCTGTGCTGTGTGTTTTGCACTCGCCATTCATAGAACCATCGCGTTAATCAGATTATCTCCAAAACAACCTGGCACAGTGGGGATTAGCCCTGTGGCACGATAAGAGTTAAAGGCTCAAGACTATAACATTTGCAAGTAATAATGTCACTCTACTAGACTACTTATGACAATGTATGGCACTACCTTAGGGTTGAGATGTTTCAGTTTTAGTTAATTTATTTAACCATAAAAATGAAACATGTACATACAAATGAGTAACATAGTAAACATTTACGGTAAAGGACACCCTTAGAAGCAAATTGCTTGTGGTGGGGCCTTAAGATGTATAGCCTAAAGATTTAGACAAGTGAGGGTAGAAAATTATGAGAATCAAACTCCCCTTGGGAGCACAAAGGGTCATGTACAGGAGCAAAATTAGAGGAATAATTAGTAATAAATAAAGTAAATCACCAGGGGTGGTATTCTGAACCCTGTGTTATCTCTAATATTGTTGTATCTTTGGAGATAAGATAAAGTACTGTTGTAACTTTTGTGTTATCTTTTGTTGTATCTTTTCTCTTATCTCATTGGCCGCGCCTGCGCTCATAGTTTGGTGCGCTTGTAATTGTGCGTATTATTAATAAAGGGGCATTTAATCCTCATTTGCATATGCGCACGGGAGATAATTATGTCGAGATAATTGGTATTCTGAAAGTTGTTGTATCTTTTATCTTATCTTATCTTGCATGGTATTTACAACAATATTTACAACAGGTAGGGGGTTGTTTTATCTTTCGTGGTGATATAATGGCGGCAATATTTTTTGCCCAAAACCAACTTCGTGCCAATAGACGAGTTAGAAAAAGATTGTGTGTTGACCGGAAACATCACAGATGAGAACTTTTTAAGATATTACATGCTAGGATATGACGATTTTAATGCTCTCATCTTAACCAATATAGTGAAAGCGTGATTTGTCTTCATGATCCACATTCAACAGCTCATAATGATGACGCGCGTAATAAGTGCTCAAATAACTAATTACGCCCAAGATTAGCATGCGCTAGGCACATCTTCAGATATGGCATAAAGTATTCCTATTGGTTGACCTACTTATCATGCTTATATAAAATAGATTTTGATTGGTAGGGTCCATAAAAATGGGCGTGTTAATAGTGGTCAAAGATAAGATAGAGGCGGTCCTTCGAGAGATAACACAGGGATAAAATGTTGTTCAGAATACCAACTTACAACAATATTAGCGCTGTGTTATCTCTGGAAGATACAACAAAAGATAACACAAAACTTACAACAATGTTCAGAATACCGCCCCAGTTTCACAGAAGTCATGAATATCAAATGTGATAGCCTAGTTTGACAAGCCTTCAATTAACACATACAAATACATTTTCTGGTCATAGGAATTCGTATCCATTGCATGACATTATGAGGAAAGCAACATCCTGAACACATAAGCAGCAAGGATATGATTATGTACAAAGATAAAATAGAGAGTACATATATCTGCATTAGCAATATTATTCTTTTACTAAATCATACAAGGTAATATAAAAGTAAAACTAAATTACTTGTAGTTGTCTATGTTGACTTGTTTAAATAAAAACTCCTAAATCTGGTAATGTTGACACGAAATGCAATATCGTTGATATTGGGCGTTGATCTTATACAGCGCTTGGGAGGATTTCTGATAGTAACTATAAAAGAATGCTGAGATGAACCGATTGCGCCACCTGCCTCTTGTGGTCTGTTTTATCCGCGGTACTTTCTGAAAGGTGTGTAATGATACAGACTTTGAAAGCTTCTGAAACTTCTGGTGAATTTAGGAAAATAAACGTTTATATTAGGTAATCTGTGTATATAGCAATCATTTTTAAATAACAAAAACAAGAGTGGAGCTAAGACAAACCCTTGAGAAACACCATATATATAAGTTTGAATTGAGTTTGAGTTATTTCATTGATACACGGTAAAAGCCCAACACAGTTCGAAGACTGGTTTCAATCAGGGCCGTGTTGATAAAAAGCAACATAATTATGACATATGAACAAAAGTAATAATAATAACACTGACAAATTTACAACCAAATACAACAATATATATAAAATAAACTAGAAACACTTCAGTATTTAAAGCTATAGTTATAGGCCTAAAAGATAAACAATTAAAGAAAGTTATGAACAAAAAAAATCTGTTGGTTTATATAAATATAAAGAGTATTACAAAAAAGCGAAGTCTAACAAGATAAGATATAAGTTAAGAATATATTTATGTATTTATGTTTAATATTAAATAGGTAAAAGTTTAAAACAAACACAAAAGAGAACACACATACAGGTAAAAGTTATATATTACACAGAAATCTGGACAAATGCGTATTCTATATTGTGTAGAAATAAAAAGAAGTTTGGAATGATAATTAATACTGCAGAACATATGAATATAGATCAGTTAAATATTACATTTTTTTAAGAGACAGAAACTGATACCGTATTGCATAGATCATATTACACACAATTAGAGTTTCAAACAAAAAGTGATTTCATATTGTGTAGGAGTAATAAATAATATGTAAGAATAAAGAATTGGTTAAAACGGTATATAGATAAAGTCCCAGTCTTTGATCTTATTTGTTTTCATATTATACAGACTTGATCGTGTATTGTAGGTATAGTCAGCAAATATAAACCTTTCGACTTATTATTCACGAGCTTGTTTTGAGACAATCTTATACATCATAATTGCTCTATTATTTGTTCCATTATTGTATTCCAATTTAGTCTTGTTAATTTTTCATCTGATGAGGAATACTAAACGGACCTATTAATTATTTGTGCTGCTCTATTCTGATTTTTTTTTGTTTTTGTTTTGTTTTTGTGTACTTCCAGATCCGAACCATACTACATGTACATCACAATAATATCACTGTATATATATATATATATATATATATATATATATATATGTGTGTGTGTGTGTGTGTGTGTGCGTGTGTGAGGGATTTGAAAGGACCCTTTATTGCACATACTTATTTAGATATTTGTTTTATCCAGAAGGGGAATTTCTATTATAAAGCATATTTATTCAGACTGGAAAAAAACAGACCTGAATTATTGCAAAGTTATGCTGAATTCGCTGGCTCTAAGAATACAAAAATCCATTGAAGCGTTTTTTGGGAGACCCTGTAGCACTGCTTTTATTTCATCTTGATTGTATCTGCTTTTTTAATGTAAATAGAAGTAACATCATACAACGTTTAACCTGAAGAGGCTATGGAAATAACTTGAAGAAACAATAAATACATGAATCAAAGAATATAATAAATGAATGAATAATTAAATAAATAAAGACACAAACAAACAAAAAAAATTAAGGGGTATGAAGGACAAAAACGAATAAAATATGGTAAAGAAATATCCCTGACCCTAAGCGATATGAAATGGGCAGTCGTAATAAGACAGGGCGACGGTCAAACGATCTTCCATGAGTTCGAGGCTGGTATACATAGGCAGCCGTAAGGTACGGCGGTAGCCATGGTTATCGCAGCCATGGCCCACTGGCAACATCCGGGTGAGTCTGTCTTCGGTGTCGCACGGTTGCTCGTCCACGGAATCGTCCATGGGTACCTGGAGGTGGTCGATATGGAGTCCTAGGTTTCGTAGTCCACCAACAGGGACGCGATCAGACCCAGCGACAAATACTGCAACAAGATAAATCATGATAATGATAGTTATTATAATTAAAAAATAATAGTGATAATAATGATAATACTTATAATAATAATAAAAAAGATGATATGAAAAATACTGATAAACCTCACGACCTCACGACATTTCCGTCAAAGAGAGAGACAAAAGACTTCATAACAAAGATCTAATGATCTTACTGAATCTATACAGCGAGACTCATTAGGAAAACATTTGGACAGTAGAACAAAAGAGTATAATAGAAAGTTGCACTTGATTGCACTTAGTGCTTTTTGTTTTGTTAAAGTCCTCCAGAAGCAAAAACGGTCGTTAAATACATCATTACATACCTCTCTTTAGTATGTTGAATAAATCTAGTCATCTTAGCCATGCCCGCCTACCGGTCAATAGTTTATTTTAAAGATGCCCGCATGCCCAAGGTAACGGGCCGCATAAACAAATTTTGCTAAGATCCCCATTGGTTTACGTTTAAAAAGTTTCTTTGGGCGAGCGCGGATACCATACAGTGCTTTTTGTCTCCGATTCCTGAATGATCGTAACATTCAGGCAACTTTCCAGCAAAGATTTACAGACAGTGTCTCGGATTTCTGTGATGTTTAACCAGTCTTCACCCAAGAAAAGGATAAAGTAAGAATTCTTTGTAGATTTGTTAGTGAATTTGGTATATAAAAGTTATATATCGACTGCTTTAATATTCGAAGCATAGCTGTTTCTATACCTGCTCTCATGGAGGTTTCATCCTAATATGACCACTCGGGGCGCCCCCAACCCCGGCGCGCCTCAGGGTCATATCAGGATGTAACGTCCCATTGATCCTATCGAAACAGCGATGCCTCTCATAGCAGTTAATATATAAATATTATGGAACAAACAAAAGGTAGATCAAACATTTTAGACTTACCGAGGAACTTTCTTTTCATGTCATTGTCTAGAGCGTGAAATACCGTCCAGAAGATCTTGATTGTTGGGTGTGAGTCTGTATATGGCTGTATATACTGGGTCGACTGAAAATAAATCAAATTATATATCATCAAAAAAATTAGAATGTGCAAATCTTCAATGTGGTTTGTAATTTTGGGGAAGTTTGTCATTTACTACTATACAAAATGCAGTGTCAAACACAATAAACATTTTTTGACAAACATTAATGCTCTAATATTCAGTCAATAACCGGATACGAATCGTTCTTCAACTGTGTCATTGTGCTATTTTTATATCAATGCCCTTTTGCGAGGCATTAATCCTCATTACTGTCAGTTATGATAAACATAGTAGCATACACATGCTTTAGCAGTCACGCAAAACAAACACTTTTATTCAATACAATATGATAATGTATACAAATAGATCTATTGGGAATAAATCATTGTCATTATCATTCCATAAATTGGGGTAAAAAAATTAGTCCACCTTTATGACCAATAGTGTACATGTATATTAAAATGCATAGTGGTACACTTCCGTGTTTAAAAGATCCGTTGACATTTGTAGCCATTGACAGTTTGTGCTATTAAAAAACTACGAACTGGCCTATCATCTAATTTGGTTGGTCCATATTACCTGCTCAAGAGCTTTCCAATCGAAGTGTTTCTCTCCCATGACAAGCGCTTCCAACTCGATAGGTCTGAACATATCAAAGGCGGCGGGATTGAAGACTCTGTTGAATCCTCGCTGGAAGGCTGCAAACTGTGACGGAACCAGGTAATCTCGAACCATATTGTCCACGTAGAGATGTCTTTAGCGCAAAGAAGATAAAATAATAGTTGGAAGATTGAGATTATCAAAAATCATTAATTAACTGAGGATTTACGCAAGGGTATGCAGATCAGAAGCATGCAGTCGGCGTCACTAAAGATAATATTAATGGACTAACTGGACAAAAAAGCATAACATTGAAATAATACCAAATGTTGTCGTTATTACCGAATGAAATTCTTTTTGTATTTATTACCACCATGCCTCTTGTTTTTTAGAAGAGAAATATTAATGTTCTTCCGGCAGGAAACTTACAACACTGAACCCAGTTACCCACTCTGGCAAGACTTTTTTAAAAATCTCCTAAGGTCCTGGATCACTCATCATCTTCATGATCGGGTCTTCACGAGCCGAGGCATACCTTATTAACTCTTCGTCCGCAAAGCAGTGCCAATGCATGCTATGATTGACATGGATACGACTAGTGTATGATGCTATTTAATAATCAATGAAATAAATCAGCTACATTTACATCGACAGTGTACATATCCATACTAAGAATTCTCAAGGCATTAACAAAAATACTGCTATTATGAATATTATGCCTAGCTTTGGCCAAGCTGCCTTCAGACAATGTTATCTTTATAATTATGTTGCCTACACTTTAGATTTTGGATCCTGTTTTCCTTACACATTTTCTTTCGTGACATCGACGCTCCTCCCATTCTTCAGCTCCACCTTTTCACCATAGCAACACCCCATCACGTAATCTTCTGTTCCAGTCCGCAATTTAGACATCTGATCTGCGAACTCCTTGTCGAGCTCTGCCGCTTCCTCCATATCACTATTAGGGCTGATAATCAACATGAAATCAAAAGAAGTATATTTCATTATAACAAAGCACTTTCTTAAAGATACATGAATACACAACTTAATCTATAATTGAAATAGACAAGAAAAACAATAGATAACAATTTTTTTTAAAATACAAAATAGGTAAAATATGAACATTAACATAAACAAATTAATAAACGAATAAACCTATAAACATCTTATAAATAATATGCCAGCGCTGCCACCAGTCTGAGAGTTTCTTATTCTAGACACTACAGACACTACTTTACCGTATGCCTCTATACAGGAGGAACTCACGTTAGATGTCGAACAAAGATATTATGAAATCTATACAATTTTGTTGAATGAAGGTGATGTTTTTGTTATGACCAGGCGATACAATGAAGCATAATAAACATAAAGATGTGATTATATGCGCTCCCATTCGGGATCGCATTCAAATGTTTCTTTGCAGATGGTCGCTTCGTTTTCTTCTCCAAAACACAAGGCGACATGATTTGGGCTAGTTACCATGGATCTTATGAAGTACTACTTGTTTGGCTAAGCATTATAATTAACTTCTTCTTTCGTATAAACTCGATATCTTTTCCATGTAACGAGGCCCTTGATAGAAACAAAACAAAATAAACTAAAGATCACTTTGTGGTATCACTAATAATAATAATGAAAAGGCATTTATATAGCGCCGTCTATCTAGACAATTCTATCCCGAAGCGCACAAGAGAAATAGAAAGAATGAGAGAGTTCTGATGAGTGTCATACTGCCAAGTACAGGCATTGTTAAAAAGATAAGATTTCAGCTTGAATTTAAAGGTCTCTAAGGGTTAGGGTTGGTTATGATTCTCGAATTGAATGGTAAATTATTCCAAAGAGAAGGTGCTGCAATGAATGTATTTTTTTCTTCAGATTCTAAATCTCTTTTGTTTTGATACCAGTTTGTGTTGTTGTTGTGACATGTAAATGTACGACCAATAAGTGCTTCGTCAAATCCAGAGCCTTTATTTCCTCCGTCACACCGAGAAAGAGCTATCTCGTTGTTCGTGTGTTTTTGATGTTCATGTTGTTGTTGTTGTAATTGTTTTTGTAGATGGAGGTGGTGATGGTGATGTATAAAGAGCAACATACCCCTTTCCTAGAAGCTTGGCGTAGAGGAGTTGTGGGAACGGTAATGGAACTATTGCCTTGTTGTGCAATGAAAACCCACACAGAAGACCACATATCTCGGCTAGTTTGGAGTCCTCACAGTCCTGTTTTACATAGGTATTCAGGAAAGGTGGTTTAGTTAAGTTCATTCAAATGAATGCGCATCGCACATGCATATTTTTGTTACACACAAAGCAAATTGAGTTTCGTTTAGGCCATTAAACAAATATATACATGTTTAGCGTCCCCGCCCGCTTCCTTTTTGGGTGCCGCCTCCTATTTTTTTTTTTTGTGTGTGTGTGTGTGTGAAGAAAAAAAAAACATGAAAAACGCTGCTAAAATGGATCTATTTCTGATTAAAAAAATACAAATGTTGGCGGCCATATTGAAAAATAGCCGACTGTCAGGAAAAATGTACCGAGTGGCCATTTTGAAGAAGAAAAAAAGGGCCTCCTCCTTTCTATTTTTTTAAAAAAAGCAGGACGCTAAACATGTTTTCTTTTTAATTTGGCCTAATGCATTGTTTTTTTCTGAACTAGAAATGAAGAAGCATAACCACAATACAAACGCACTATGAGTCCTATATAAGAAAAAAATCACCCAGCCAAACTCTTGAATGATCATAATAAAAAGAAAAAAATACATAAATAGAATTGATATAATTGTTTTCATGGGTAAAACGTAGCAATAACATGTCACCCCAAAAAAATCAAACGCAACTTTCAGTAAATCATATTTAGAATTTCTTTTGAGTGGCGTTCTCTTGATACTTGTTATTCGAATTCCCCAAAAAGCAGTTGACTCATGCAATACCTTCAGAATTGCTATGTATCGGAAAAAAGGCCAAACACATAGTCCAAGTATGTTTTGAACATATTGTACGAGACAAAAGAGGTGAAACTTGGAAGTCAATCTCTGAATAATTAATTAGTTTAAAGATGTACACTCAAATTTGCCAACAAATTGTCTTAAAAAATGCAGGGTCTAATCACAGTAGAAATTCCGAAAATGATTATGTACCTTCCGAAACCAGACAGGCGAGTGAGTCGGGTCGAGTTCGTCGACATATCGGAAAAGACCGTTCTTTCCCGGATCGAAAAGTTCTTCAAAGACAAGCCGGAAAAAATCCTGTTTTGATAGAATAAGAACGCATTATAAATGTTGGAGGTAAAGGCTCTTGACTCTCAAGTGAGATCACGAGTTTGATCCTTATTTTCTGTAATACTTTGTTCTTTTAAAAACTTTCTCTCTGTACTGTGCGTACCAGAAAAAACGAAACCGAGAATTATCGATGTTTTATCATAACTTATAATCAGCCATGCATGAAGTCTTTTGTTCAATGGCTGATCGTCAAAGAAAAGAAGTTAAGTCTTTTATCAATGTTGTTTGTTGCTACGGCAGGCAGCCAGTGAAAACGAATTCGTTTAATAAAATTATGGAAATGCAAGCGTTACTTTAAACAAACAATACTTTGTTATTCCTTGCTCATTTTTCCTAATTGAGTTGTCATATGAAAGGGCAAAAACTTAACTTTTTTTAAATGTGATTTTCTCTTTGAAATTCAGATACCGTCCGCCAAATGACTTGTTGGTACCCTCTCTTCAAATTGCTTTTAATCACTCATGTGTGAAATATGCATCATAGGAGTTATATCAAATGAAAGAAGAGGATCTAAGCTTTACAAATATGGGTCATTTATTAATTATAATTGTGATTAAGTTATGATAAAACATCGATAACGCTCGGTTTCTTTTTTTCTGGGACGCACTGTATATATATATTATATACAAGATTTATTAAAACGGGGGCTGTTACAAGGATGCCAATAATCACTTACCATACTCAGAGCCCCCTCGTCCAAACCAATCTCACCCATGAATTGGACCATGAGAGGTATTTGAAGCCAGGACCTCGGTAAGGTCAGCATCTCGGCTAACTGCTTCCGGACACTCCACCCGAAGATGTCATCCCGGCTTACGTTAAGGAGAAGACACAAACGTGGTACAGGAATCCCCAAGAGATAACAAAATCCAAACATTGGATGTTGCCTCATTGCTTGTTCCATGGCATTCTGGTAAGTAATCATTGAAAAACATGAGAACTTTGAATTGCAGGATATTAGGTAAAACTAACTGCAATAATCTTTAAAATATTATATATTTATTGTCTACAGTCTCTAAGGTTTTAGAATCGTTAATAAAATACTAGTACTGTTTCCTTTTTAAAGAATCATAATTTTTTTCTTCTAATATTCAAATCGGTTTCAGAGAAAAATATAGCACTACTCGTGCTTTATTGTCTTTTGTTGATGAGGTGGCACATGCTACTGATAAATCTTTACACACGGTGGGTACATTCAGGCACGCTGGAAGCAGTTTGGGATGGGGGGGGGGCAAACATTCCAGGGGGGCTCACTTTCCAGGGGCAGTGACGTAATGAGAAAAAACGTTCGGAAGGAGGGAGTGGGGGGGGGGGGCAGTAGAAAAATCTGCATCACCACCAGTCTTAAACGTTACATGCAGGTCCCGCGGAACGTTTTTTAAAGAGTATTAACGATCAGGTAGAGCGTAAACTGGCGTGGGGTCCAGGGCATGAGCCTCGACTTGGGTCAAGGGGCTGAGCCCCCGGAATCTAGGGGTTTTAGGTATTTATTTACGGTTAGATTAGCATCCAGGGGCCCTCTTTAAGGCCATTGACGGAAGCTCAGAGGTTTTAATATTTAACTACGGTAAGATGAGCATCCAGGGGCCGCCTTAGGGCCCTTGGTGGGGTCCAGGGGGCAGAGCCCCCAGAAGCTCAGGGGTTTTAGGGATTCATTTACGGTCAGATGAGCATCCAGGGGCCCTCTTTAAGGCCATTGACGTGTTCCAGGGGGGGGGGGAAGAGCCCCCAGAAGCTCAGAGGTTTTAATATTTAACTACGGTAAGATGAGCATCCAGGGGCCGCCTGTCGATAAAAAGCTTTCATGGAAATGTCCAGGTTGAAATGTTATATTGATAATATTTGTAAAACTATTTCACGTAATATTGGGGTAATAAATAAATTAAAAAACTTGTCTCCCAATTTCTTCCTTGTTTATGTTATACTCATCTTTAATATTGCCATACCTGAATTGTGGTCTTCTTGCTTGGGGTAATGCGCACAAATCGTTGTTAGAGATTATTGTTATTACCAAAAAGGGCTATTCGTATTATCTGTTACTTTCCTATACGCTCTCATACTGACCCATTATTTTGTTTAATACATTATTAAAAATTAAAGGCTTGTACTTGTACCAATTAGGCAAATTTATGTAAAAATATGATAAAAATATCATATGTTACCTTCACTAAGCTTTGGATTTTATGTTTTTCATAAACCAATCATTTCATAATCAACCAACGTTCGAATGAATTTCATTTGCCCCTTTTCAGAACTCTATTAGCTCAGAACACGTTAACTTATGTTGGTCCAACATTTTGGACCACTCTTGATATAGGCATAAATCATTCACTTTCACCAAAATCTTTAAAAACAAAATAAAGTTATATAGTGTTGTTTATATTAACAAAAAGGTCATTGCTAGATTAATCCCAATTGGTGCTAAATAAAAAAAAAAATCATCATGCTTCCTACGTACTTCCTATTTTTCATATACACTGTCCTCCATTCATGCGGTTCACACCCACTCACCCCTTTTCTTTTGTTGTCCATGCAGTTCATAATTCTACCCTTGTGCTTCCACACTGCGTTTTATATGTAGATACATGTTTTCTTCAGTATTCTTCGTAGACACAGGCATGAGTAACGGTAATGACATTGTAAAGCGCATTGTACTCCTCGTCACTGTTTTTCAAACCCGCATTTCGTAGGCTTAAATGGACTAGTGCAATTGTAATGATAGACAGTTCGGATTCGTTGACTGATCTCAATTTCTCACAAAGAAATAGAATCATACTTACATCTTGTTCACTTATGTTATAGGATTCAAGCATCTTTGTTTTCATCTCTAGATCAATGAGGAATGGATACGACGCCCAGGAGAATTTCTGCAACGGCTATAAACATCAAGAAAGAGTACACGACCGTTTTTTTCTTGTTTAAATTAACACGAGAGTAAACATAACGAATTTATTCATACACGTTAAAAAGCCCACACTGTGGGAAAATTAGTTTTCAATGGGTCCTTGGCAAACATTGCAAATACATGCATTAACATTGCAAATGTGAAAACATATAAAGCACTTCGTTAAAATAAAAAGCACTTCGTTAAAAAGATAATTAAAAAAAAAGCATCACTATAGAGACACTCTGTTCTTGTTTTATGTTAGTTTAATCATGAAATCCATTTTTATTTGAAATTTCGTCATTTATTTATAATGTATTTATTGCTGGTATATTAATAAAATATTTAGATGAAATGCCAATAAGGTTAAATCAATCAATATGAATCTATATACAAATATTAATGTATCATAACCACTTCGAGATCTGTCCATAATCCTTGCTATCATATGAGAGTATTCACTCTTGACAGTTCTAAAGAGAATTCAACTATGTTCGCAAAGGTGTTTCGATGTGATACATGGCACTTTTTCATTTATACCAGATGTTCGGTATTCTGAAAGTTCAATTTGTCATGTTCAATACTAAAACAATGATATTATGACAGTTCTTAACCGTACCCCGAACAAGATAGGGCCTAATAAATAAATCGGGCACATTATGCCGATTTTTTATAATTCTGAAAATGAAATAAAACCCTATATCATCCATTTCGAAATTGTGAACTCCTGCTGCAACGAACCTTCGAGGAACAAAAATTGATTCTTTGACAAAACTATTGTCCCCCCTCCCCCTACACTAATATGAACGGTCAGACCCGTATCACTTACTTGGTGTGGACGTATCCAGACTTTGTCTAAATTAGGGATGTAGAACGTCTTAATGGAAAGGATGTCATGCTGTAGATTAATCTAATATATAGAACAAACAAATACAAAGGATAACACAAATATTATGCGAATTCTTGTTGAATGAAATGCAGATGTCGATACATACGATAACGTACACTGTTGGTCATAATGGTGGAATTTTTTTTTTTTACCCCGATTTATGGAAATATTTTAACAATGATTTATTCCTACTAGATCTAGATAATAGTATACATTCTCAGATTTTATTGAATAATAATGTGTGAGTGTTTGTTTTGCGTGACTGCTAAAGCATATGTATGCTACAATGCTAATCTACTAGGGGACCTACGTCCTTAAGACATAACTGACAGTAATGAGGAATAATGCCTCATAAAAGGGCACTAATAAAGCATATCGACACGGTTTTGATCCTGGGGGCTAACAGTAACGAGGCCATTGCTTAACCACTGAATCATGACTGTACGCAGTGGGGGCTAAGGTACGTCGCCGCCCCCACACATACAAAAAAACAAAGAAAATGCAATAATTTTTCAATAAATCATTGCATTTTGACCCGACCCCTATGATAAAAAAATCCTCTATATGGGCATGCCTTGACCCATAATGCATTGCCCTACAGAGGATTTTTTATGTTGGGGGCCGGGGGGAAATGCAATAAATTATTGAAAATCTATCGCATTTTCCTTGTTTTTTTTTGTATTTGTGGGGGCGGCGACGTACCCTAGCCCCCACTGCGTACAGTCATGATTCAGTGGCTAAGCAATGGCCCCGTTACTGTGAGCCCCCATGATCAAAACCGTGTCGATATGCTTTATTAGTGCACTTTTATGAGGCATTATTTCTCATTACTGTCAGTTATGACGTAATGACATAGGTCCCCTAGTAGATTAGCATAGTAGCATACATATGCTTTAGCAGTCACGCAAAACAAACACTCACAAATTATTATTTAATAAAATCTGAGAATGTATACTATTATCTAGATCTAGTAGGAACAAATCATTGTTAAAATCTATCCATAAATCGGGGTAAAAAAAAATTATTCCACCATTATGACCAACAGTGTATATATCATATTACTCTCTGCAAACATTTACACATATTCAATGTGAGCTAGACATCTTAACCGTGTTGAAAATTATCCTTACAGGAAGGGTGGTGGTCTGGGCTTACAGATCCCGAATTCATGACTTTCCTCTTTCAAGATCGGACCTTGTGTTGGGGATACGAGAGGGGGAAAAAAAGGGGGGGGGGGGACATTCTGACCCTTTACTACCTGTGAAATCTTCCTTTCAAAAAACCAATTAGAGTAGAATTAAGCTAGTATGTCACGATAAATATTTGTGTGTGTGTCGATGTTTGGATGGTAGGGTGTGTTTGTGTTGGGGTGGGTGTGGACCTGTATGCAAGTAGCTATAATTGTTTGGTTCATTGTGTTTTATTTTGATTGTTTCATTTTGTTTGATTTTGATTTGATTTTTTGCTGACATGCATCAAACAAACGACCTTTAAGCCCGGGGGGGGGGGGGTTACTCAGATTTGGTTTGAACGGGGGCATGCCGCTTAAGCCTCAACACCTCTACCCATTTTTAAGGGTCAGTTGGGTGATTTTTCTCGAAATACAGGCCAATTTTTCACAATGCAAACACCCTAAAGCTTTGGAAACTTTAAAAAACGGACCCATGTTTAGGGATATTTTTGTTTAACATGGGACCCATATTTAGGGATTATTTTTTGAAAAAAGTGACATATTAGAGCGGCACATCCCCGTATGATTTAATATGTGGGTAATCCCCCCCCCCCCCCCCCCCGGGGTGGGGGGCCTTTACGATTTTTTTTTCTGTATAGTTACTTGTAAAGCGAGAAAAGGTCCTTATGATAATTGTACTAACAATGACTAGACATTTTGCTCCTGCGATAATTATTCTGGGCTTCATGTCGTCAGAGGTATATGGTTAGGGTTAGGTTGCAATTCAGCGTTATGATAGGTATAGGGTTAGCATTGTTGTAAGATATAGTGTAGGGTCCAGGATTGAGGTTCGGAATTCGGTTAGTGTAGGAAATTAACTCCGGGCAATTGTCGCAGGAGCAAGTGTCTTACAACCGTAAAAAATCACACGACTGGTTCAAAAATTATTAACTTACTCACCTCATTCAAGGAGCCGAGAATTCTCAGGTAGGTCCAAAAGTTTGCCAGTTCCTTCTCCAATAGCACTCTGTCGTGGAATAGGATTGTGAGGGACCGTCGGTAAGCCATGATTGTGCGTCGAAAGGACATCGGTTCGAACTTCCACCAACGAGCTATAAAGGGGCAAATTGGGGATAGAGTACAGGTTATATATGTTATTTAGAGCATCGCAGGGTTGAAATCAAGATTCCATTCATGTTTTACATTGAACTTGCTGTCAGATCTTAGGTCAGACAAACTCGCTTCACAACTTTTGTTTACATCGCTACCACTCTCTCTACCCAATTAACTTGATCGCTAAGACTTTCTTGAAATAAACTCAATGGGAATTTTAAATATATACTGTATCGCCTACATAAATTCACGTTCAGATTGGTAATAATGCTATTGCAATGTTCGCACATTGCGAAGAGGCTTTCGTCAAGCTTTAGGCTGTTGAAATTGTCTAAGGATGATTTTTCCTTAAGTCTTTAGGATCGTGTTGCCTTTGCTTCGTATTTTCTAAAAAATCCCATGACATGAGGAAATTGTCTTTATCAATTACAAACAACTTCGGAAAGCCCGAGTACAGGAAAGTACTTCGAAAACCGTGAATACCTAACAGTGAACATAGTGCTCTCATCATGAGTGGCAGTGCGTACGAAAAGTATGTTGAAACTCTTCTTAGGTCAACTTGTTCTCAACATACATTTTGAAAAAAAATTGCTTTGAATAATTTTTTTTAAAATATGATTTTAGCCATTTAGAACGAATTTGTATATGATTAATCATTTAGGGATTCTGAAGATAATTAACCCATAGCAAAAAAACATATAACGACAAAAAGTTGACTTTGCATTTTTTCCCCGATGCCTTTGGCTCGGTTTTTCTGAAGTTGTGTCTGACTGTTTACCAGGTGTTGCCGAATTGGATTTCTTTTCCCCGGCCTTCGATGCCATGTGAAGAAACCCTATCAACCTGTCTGCAGCGGCCAGGGCACGGCGCCCCCAGGGGCGGTGATGGTTACTGAACACAGGACATTCCATCAGAATATAGATGAACCGAAGGGCTTCGATGTGGGGTGTCGACTGAGGTATGCTGGTACACAGATTAACAGAGATCACTTCGGAGAGCTGTAGAAGATGATTATGAGAAAATGTAATTATTTTGTAGAATTTAATTACTGGTAAAGATATGGCATAAATGCAAAAATACCAATACATTAATATGTGTAGTATGTTGTATAACATTTCAAGTTAATGATGTGGATTGGCAGTTGTTACTTTTGGTTGCGTTTTAGAAAGATCCATTTGATCTTAACCAAAAAACAATTTTTTTTTAAGATAGATTTTTCGCATCCCATCCTCGGAAACCTGTGTTTTCTTGATGAATTCGTTTTCATGTGTTCGTTTAATAACTACATTCTGTCCTTTCCATTCTGTTCTGTAAAACTGTTTACTATTAGGTTCACCTTTTCAAGAAGTTTGTCGTTCTTGCTGATCACTTTGTAAGCCCTTCTTGCTGCTTTTAGATCAACATTCAGACCATCGACTTCGTTTGGTCTGAAAATATGAAGTACAAACATTAAAAACCGAACCCGAATATTTTTAAGAAATCAACTAAACAGAAATTTCAATTACAATTCTTATCGCCCATAGAAACGAAGTTTCGATCGTTGCACATTACAACAAGAGATAGGGCACAAATTTCAGGCTATTGGTGTTGCTATTGGTTGATTTTCCAAAAGTAATTGGAACATGTACAATCCAAAGATAAGCTACGGATATTTCATAAAGTTATACTGATAAATGTAGATATAAAACGAGATGAATGACTTGCGAAATGATTATCCTTTTAGCACATCATCAATCATTACCCTGTTTGGCGGAAGGATGCATTTAGGCAAGCGGGAGATGAGAACACCATGCTTGCATATTGGAATAAGGCGTCCTCTTCAGTGATGTCTCCTTGAATATTAATGTCACTTAAACTCTGCAGCAGTCCAGCAGATAGTGTACCGATCTCCCGTCCAGGAGCAATTGAAATATGGACATCTTTTCTCTGAGGGTAACAAAAGAAAAAGCATGAAATGAATTCCAGCTCATTTTCTTGCTCGAAATGGTATCAACATCATAATACATCATAACCAGCATTTTAGCTCAGGTATGTGAGGTTAAATCTATGACTTTTTGAAAAAACGTAATACTTAACAACTTACCTCAAATTTATTATTGAATATATATCTTTTTCTATGTTTTGAATATTAACATTTTTAGGTTGTCAGGCACAAGAGCAACAACAAAAACCATAACATACAAATAGAAGTACACATACCACTGGTTCATCCTGCTCTATGATAAAGATGTTTTCCTGTCCAGCGCACAGTCGGCGCCAGGTTCGTGGTTGCCTTTGATGGTTCTCCTGACCAACACAGGTTATGCCAGGTACATATTCCAACGTTTCTCCCGCATGACCGTCATGTTCGTTGGTGACTGAAGTTGTATCCAATGTAGCAGAAAGATCAGTGATGCCATCCTCATCATCCTCGACATCATATCTGCGGGTTCCTTCTTCGAATCTTTCGACATGTTCGTAGTCCTCTACAGGCCTTGATGGTTCCCAGACCTTTGGATCAAAGCCGTAACGACCAGGTGGCCAATCAGTGGACGATTCAGGTTCAAACAAGTCAACCATCGAACCTTCTTCAAGGGGTTCAAGCTGTACATTTCCACCCTTTTGGACCTTCTCATGATCAAGAACGAAGACCCCATTGGTGATTTCATCAACTGCATATGTACATCGACTGCAGGGAACGGCAAGAGAGAAATCTAAAGTGTCGAAATATGTTGCTATATCCTCTTTTTTCAGTGGTGGATTCACAATAAATTATTTTATATCATTAATGTTGACTCATTGTTAGCATCTTTTGAAATATTTTTGAAGCTTGTGGTATTGATCCATGAAAGACACAAAATTGCCACGATAGGATCATGTGTACCCTGTGGTAAGTACATCGACAAATGTAATAGTGGTCCATGTACATGTATTTGATAATCTTAGTTAATTCAGCCACCGATTTAAATCAATAAAAGTGTATAATGGTACCTGAGGAAAACACTGCATAATTATCATAATACTGTACATCTACTATATTAGTTCTTAAAGATATCAACATATTCAAAACATCTGTAAACCATCAAAGTCGATGTTTTTATAGTAATAACAAAAAAGAAAACATTGAAAAGCTATAGCAAAAAAAATAAATAAATAGGCTTACGGTCAAACTTGTCTATAATGGCCACCCAAGAAACAGAAAAAGCGGCCCACTACATACAGGTGGTCTTTATAGAGATAACATTAATAAAGGTATGACTGAAAAAAAACGAAAAACATGTCTACATGAACGCTTACTTGGTTGATTGTAGGAAAGAGAACGTGTGTCCGGGTCGTCCAGGTCTCAGTTCAGACTTGCCCCATTCGTCGGACTCACAAGGGTACCCGTCGACACCCATACCATATACCATCAGCTGGCCATTCTACCAAAAGGAAAAAAACGCGAAATTTAAGAAAAGCGTAGTTCAAGGAGTATAATCACAAAACAATAATTTGTATATTTTTGGAAGACATGAAATCTCCTCATTAAAACTACATCAGGCATTCAACTGTTTAATAATTACAAGAGATGTTGGGGGGGGGGAATATAATATTAAAGGGAAATCCAAACTTGACATAAATTACTAAAGAGCGAAGGCAGAGAATCAGAAAGTTTGAATGAAATCTGATTTTTTTTTTTTAAGTTGTGAATATCTAAAAGTTGTAAACATTGCAGGTGTGGGTTTATCAAATTCACCGAATCGGTAATGTCTCTGTGATGTAAATGCAGACAATTTTCCGATCTGTTCAAACACGCAAAATGACAGAAATATCAATTTTCTTTAAATCTATATGAATCAGGAGGGTGTTCAATCCTTGGAGAACCTATAATGATATGTATTTATAAGTTAGGGGATAGTTTTCCGGGGGGTAATATGATAGACATGAAGAATGGTAAAAATCCCTTGGACTGACAAAGTTAGTAATGAGGAAGTTCTTAGAAGAGCTGGAGTGCATAGGAAAGTGAAACGTGAAATGAGGATTAGGCAGTTGAAGTTCATGGGTCACTTTGCTTTCAAACATAGCAGGAGATGGATTGCCCGTTTACTCTTAAAAGGCCTCCCTTATTGTCTCCATGTGCCACAATATATTCATCATGGGATAGATGTACCATAGGCTTCAAGAATATTTTAAAAAAAAGTTGCCATGGAGTTAGGCGAGGCGTCAAAAATAAATATACCAGCCAGCGGCAGCTAACTGCACTTGTGCGTCCTGGCTGCATTTTTTAAATTAGCTCAGCCGGCTACCGCTGGCGGTAGGACCCTCAATTAACTCATGATGTCATCATAATGGTCTCCGAACAAAAGCATGCGCCGGCTGCCGCCTTTCGATTGGAAACCGAGCCTCAGATCCCAGCCTGGCGCAAGCCGGCTGGGCTAATAAGTGAAAAATAATTGCCCCAGCCAGGCTTCGGCCGTAATTGCAGCCTCGATGCGCCAATACGTGAGGCGGCAGCCTGCTGGTATCGATATTTTTGACGCCTCGCCTTAATCAAGACCGGAAATGTGTCATTTTTAAAAATTCATAGTGTTGCACAATCAATCCCCGGCTGTGCCATCGACAGGTGCGTATTGTTTTGTTCAAAATTGCACGTACGGCAACCTTAAGTGGAGGCGAAGAACGCAACCAAAGTGTTTAAACTTCAGACTGGTAAGGAGTCGAAAATAACTAGCGAGAGCGCCACAGTTTACAAAAGTGTGTTAACTGGTCCTTCTGCCTCTCTCGGGATTGCTACATCGTCATTCCATTTTGTTAAGAGTATAGTACCGATGATCGACCCCATGACCTTCGAATCTGGGTCCAGTGTTTAAACCACTCAACTCCGACACGTCTATAAACGTGTTCCTACCTGTTTAAGGAAGCTTGTATGGTGCATTCCGCACGAGACAACCTTGACATTGCCTTGTGATAAGGAACACAACTTGACCGGTAGCTTCACATCTAAAGAAGTGTGTTGGAAGATAAGACAGTTTGACTTAGGTTAATAGAAATGTACGTACTACACATCCTGGTATCAAGCAAGAGTGTATCCAGGGGGTGAACCATTACCAAAACAAAAACATTAATTATAATATGCTATAAATGATAGCATTCCTATCCACCACGCAATAAGGTACATAATACCCTGACGTATTATTTTAGGAATTGTTTTTATTCCTTTTTTTCCTTTCTTTTTTACAACTTTCTTGTCCCTTTTTTCGGTTGTTGTTGTTGTTGCTTGGTTGCTTGACGACGTGTCATGAAGTATTTAGAAACAAAGATGCAATATTATAGTAATAATGACTGATATGAGAGACGCAGTTGTTTTTATACGCTCAAGTGGAGGTTACATCGTGCTATCGCCCCGAGGCGTGCCGAGGGGTGATATCACGATGTAACCTCCCCGAGAGCCTATAAAAACAACTATGCCTCGAATATTAAATCAGTCATTATAACTCGTCTACCGAAGAGGGTCATAAAATACATGTGCGACTGCAATCATGGTAATCAAGTTTGTTTACACTATTAAGACCTAGAAATCTAATCTTTATAGGGTGTCTGATCGCGCACCACTCGAGTTTGTGTGCTAAAATCCTTCCCATTGAGATTGCACGGATATATCCCTATGCGGTCTAGATCTACGTGTAATCATACCCGCCTACCAGTCAATAGTCTTTTGAAAAGTGCACTAGGGCGCTTTTCAAAAACTATTGACTGGTTTTGGCAGTTTACGTTTCTTTAATACGCGAATTGATAAATTAACGACTCCAATTTCGACCAATCAGATGGTTTGATTTCTAAAGTGAGGTTTATAATAGCAATTATTATCTTTTACAGGCTTCCAAGTTGTACAATAAATCAGTGTATTTAATATTTTTAGCGCAGCACCCGGATGACGGATCAATTAATGTTGTTTTCGTATTACTCTGTCATCCGGGAACTTCAACTGCCAATAGAATATTGCTCGATTATCGAAAATCTACAGCATTTTACCGAGATAAATCAAATGTTGTTATTTCGCTAGTCATCCTGATATAGATAATACTAATACTAATACTGTATGGCTTTGTTTTCGGGATATAAAAGAATATATTATATAAATACTGTCGCTTACCATCTAACTTCTGTAATCCCAACTGCCCATGCGTGTTACTGCCCCACACAAAGATTGACCCGGTAGTGGAAAGAGCAACGGAGTGAGCGCCGCCAGCGGCAATGTGTTGCACTGGAATTCCCCAGAGACCTTCGATTTCAATGGGTTTCTCTGCATGGTCCTTTGCTTCCTTCGCGGCCCACTTGGTCTCCACACCTAGCTGACCATGACGGTTGCAACCCCATGAAAACAGCCGCCCATCTAGCAAAAAGGCAGTGAAATCAGTTCCATTCTTACAATATACACACACAGGCGCTGTTGCGATTGCCTAGTTAACAATGCAACGAATCACGTATCCGTTATTAGGAAATAAAATGAAAGTAAACTTAAGACATCAATGAGATTATTAAAACTAGTTAGATGGGGAAAAAGAAAAATTACTGAATCATGGAGGTAAAAAATATAACATGTTAAATCTCTTATAGCTTAGATAGGCCTATGTCGTTTTCAATTCTTTGATTTTTCATCTAAGCTTTCGTTAAGATATTGTTTTGATAGCATCTTTCGAAGAATCTGTGTCGGCAAAGCATTACCACATTAAAGATATCGAGGAATCATATATAGATGACAATTATAAAGAATTAAAACAGTAAGACAGAACTTTCAAAAAGAGCTTAAAGGCAAATACTAAGAAAGTAGGGAACACTTCACAGTAAATAAAGAGCCCTCATCGTTCACTTCGACGCAGTGTGTACAAAAGACCTATGGTAAATCTTGTAAAGTCAACCTGCTGTTGAAATTTTAAGCGCCTAAATTATCCTCTTAATATTTGAACGATTAGTCATACACAATACTTGAAGCATATACATAACAAATATTTTAGATCTATCCCCAGTATTAATTTCCTGAAAATGTATGATTCAATATTCAGTATATTTTGTCTCATGGATGTCTTTAATAAACATACTACCTTGAATTAAACGATGAGGGCGTTATGAGCCTATTTCGAAGATCAGGACAATTATCCCGTGAGCAATCAAATCAGAAATTTACCTTCTGATTTTCTTCGGGGGTGGGGTGGGGGTAATTCTCCATGGGGTAATTGCCCTTGGGGGGGGGGGGTTATTTTCCGGGGTTTATTTCCCAGGGGATTATTGTCCTAGAACTGTTTTGGAAGTATTTGATTGCCAGCGGTTTTCCAAAGTTGTGTCGGGACTTGAATAGAAAGACGTATTACCTAGAGTGAGTGCGATTGAATGGACGTCTCCGCAGGCAATCTGGATGACGTCATAGTTTGAGAGTTCCTCGATCAATCTGAAAACATGCATGTTGTAGAATGATTAAAGGTAGGATATTTTACCGACATCACCACTGCTGTAATGTATCAAAGAGATTCGATCATACACAGTATGTCCTCCGTTATGTATTTTCAATTGCGCCATCTTTCGGTGAAGGCATACAGAATGATTTCCGGTTCCTGTCAAGGAGTTGGTAATGCATCATGGCTGTCGATTCGGACATTGTGAGCAGCACATGGCAGTATACGTTAATCAAAATAGTGTGAGTAAAATATTCTTACATTAAGATCAATTTAAATCAACACTTTTAAAATTGGCTGACTAAAATTAATAATTGTGATGGGAGCCTATAGTTGTGTGCAAACTTGCACTTGTGGCAAATAGGCAACCAAAGTGTAAATGTATTCCGGAAATATCGTCGCGAACCAAGAGGTCGATTTTTCAATAAGTTGCATGTCCCCCGGCCAAACCAAAATTAATTAATTATCTGTATGCCAGAATTTGATTTACGCATCGTATATATGAAAAGGGAAATATGCTCTGATTTATGCCCCCCCCCCCCCCCCCCCCCCCCCAACTCCCTTGGCGGCAATTCCATAATCCAAAAGGCACCTGTTATATATTAGTAGTTGACTGGTTGACAATCGCTGTATAAGCATCGTTTTTATTATTATTTTTATGTTTAAGTGAACTCTACAGTCTAACTTGTTTAGGGGCTAATCAGTCATAGAGGAATGTAGGAGTAAATACACAAAGCAGTCTTGTGTATGCCAATTTGCATACTCTCTCTCTCTCTCTCTTTCTACTACCCCCCCCCCCCACCTCCGACCGGTACTAGGACAATTACCCCTTGGGCAATGACCCCCCCCCCCACCCCCGGCCAATTACCATCGGGAAAATTACCCCCGAGGACAATTACCACCCGGAAAATTACCCCCCGAGGACAATCATCTCTCGAGGACAACTCCCTCCCCCCCCCCCCCCCTCCAATAAAAAATTCTGCTTTTATTTATAAAAACCAACTTATTATCAGGGTGGACTTCCCCTTTAATAAACAGGTGATAATTGTCGGGATAATTGACCTCGGGGGAAGGTTGTCCTTGGTTGTCTTGGGGGGGGGGGGGGTATTGTCCTACGAGGTTCCGGGGTCGGGGGGGGGGGTAGTTTTCGGGAGGTGATTGTCAACGGGGCTATTGTCCTGATACGCCTGCGGCCATATAATCCTGGATCCGGCAGTTAACCTAACCTTGGTGTGAAGTCTTGTGTAATCTGGCTCTGGTTATCATATCTCTGCTTCTTTTTCCGAATACCAAGCTGCCCGACATCGTTCCTACCCCAGCTGTAGACCCGACCATCGGCAGAGAGGGCAAGGGAGTGATGTCGACCACAGCATACGCTCACGATGTCAACGCAGGGTTCATTCTCCTCTTCGGATGTCGGGAAGATCACCTCGACTGGTTTGAGAGGAGGTTGAGAATATTTAATTGAAATTATTTGGTAAATATCAGGCCTCTATTTACACATTTAAGGTATGTAAAGATAGTAAAGGGATCAAAATCCCTCCAAGCAAAAAACGAAAGAAAAATGGGTGAAACAAAAAGCGAGGGTGGACGGCTATCAAGAAAAGAATAAAGGATCGGGTTCAATATACGAAGCTTTCGACAAACACAAAAGTCAGAACTTCAGTGACCCCCCCCCCCCCCCATGCTCATTATATTCAATCATCTGTACTAATTCAGCATTCTTCTTGGGGAAGAAGAAAACAAATTTATCACCACTATCAAACTTTAGCCTGATATTAGGCCTATGCCAGTATTAAATGTATTATTGATTCACATGTTCTGAACAGAGGAGAAAAATCTTTGCACTCTCTCGCTCTCTTCCTCTCTCTCTCTCTGTCTCTCTCTCTTTTATTGTTGAATGAATTTGTCAACTTATTGATGCAACAATCTGGAAAAATATATATATTTTTAACCCATTGCTTCCGGAATCCTTTGCTCTTCCCATTAAGCCTATTTTCCAGTATTCATCAATTTCTCACCATAATTCTCCTGTTTGCTAACGCCTTTCGGGTCACAGGTGTAGACACGCCCATTAAAGGTTGTCATGACAACGCACTCTGTGTTACCGCAGGCATCTTTGATCGGATAACCTTCTAAAGATGTCCTTTTGAGCATCATGATAGCATCACTATCATCCGAATAGTCCCATGAAGCCATTGTGTTGTTTCTAGGAGAGCAAAGAAGTACTATAAGTTAACTAAAAACCGAGAAACGGTTTTATTTATGAAAAAAAAACAAAGCATGCGGACGATAGACCACGCATTCAAATTAATTGTTTTATATTGAAATCCAACATCTACTGCTAGCTCTACACTACTAGTGTTCTTTGCTCAGCAAACAAGAGGGCAGCATATAGGGACAGTGACATCTTGTCCTTTATTTAAAGGTACTATGTCCCATTTGCAGGCCAAAAAAAGAAAAGGTTAAATTCCAACGGCATTTGAAAGACAATACTAATTTAGAACTTTCCTCAAACCGAAAGGGCCTGAAAATGGCTTTTAGGGGAAAATAACGACCATTAGTTGTCTAATCGACAATTAAGTGATTGTAATCACCTTAGTAATAGTCAGATTTTCAGACCCTTTTATCGAATGGTCGTACATCTTGTGCTGCACAAAGATTCAATCAGTTTAATTTTTGCCATAACAATTAGTGGGTTATTGATTTAGACAAATGTTCATGTACCTGTTACAGCTAATTTTATGTATGTTAGTACCAACGAAAAAAAAATGTGTCTGACAGTGAAGTATAGAAGGTAAACGGGTTTTCTTGCATAATTTGAATGCTAGACACTGCTAATGTTTAAAGTTCACAGATAGGACATAATATACATGACATATTCATAATTCCTGCAAAGTTCTACAGTATTTTATGTTGGCTGCAAAAAGGACACAGTATCTTTAATTTTCCCCGTCTATGGTTAACCGATTGTTTTCCCGCGCGACCCGAGCCTGCATCGAGAACAGAAGGTAGGGGCGCGCTTTCATTGAAATTTTATGGATTACACAAAAAGCGGTGACAGTCATTTTTGCAAAATTGTTTGTCTCATTAGACACCTCGAACCCGCGCGAATTACGAAAGTCGTGAGAATCAGACGCTGGTCCGTTTGTGACACACCACCTCAAATTTAAGAATGAGCATATCTAGGTTTTGTCCATTATAGTATACGCAGTGGCGTAATGAGCCAACATTTTTGAGGGGGCTGAATATGGCGTATCGCGTAAAATAAATACAAATTTGCGAGCGAGCGAAGCGAACGAGCACAAATTTTGACATTTTTAGTACAAAAATCCAACTTTGTGATATATTTTGACTTAATTTTCAGAAAATAATATCATATTTCACCTTTCTCTCTTTCCTTTTCTCTTTTTTTTTCTTGTTCGTAAAAAAATGGGGGGGGGGGGGGCTTCAGCCCCCCCCCCCCCATCTGTACGCCACTGAGTATACGTACAACTACGAGGTCGGTCCGTCCATGCATGGTAAGGTAAGGTAGCTTGGATAAGTAGCCTGTTTAGCCAAGTTACGTACCCGCTGCCAACGATTATGTCACACAGAGGATTCAATACACGTCAGGGCCTTCTCATGCAAAGAGTTACGATTGATTCAAAATCCATCGCAAGTCCTCCAATCAATAGCACATTTACAGTCTCCTATATCTGATGTACATAATAGTTGTGATTTATATCAATCACAAATGATATCAACTCCTCAAAAGACGAGAATAATAACGTATAATAATACAGACAAATAACATAACAATCGTAATTGCAATATATTATGTTCCATATAGCCTACCTCGTATTCCCTTTTTGCTTCTCTGTGTCTTTAGAGATATAACTTTTGGGTTAGCTGTGATCGAGCACTTACCAAAGTCACAAATGAAGCCTATCGTACATCTGTAGGCCTATGCATCCAGTGCAGAAACATAATGCTCATAGTCACGATAAACAAGAGGCGGGGATTTACGTTGCGCAATAATACCATCGCGATCTAAGCACACATAGAGCTATTGTGTAATCAACGTTGAATATTACCAACATATACGTTCACTTTACGACACAGATTCGCTCAAAATGGGGAATCCCCATGTTAACGATGAAGTGGCAAATCACAAACAAAGCCAAACTGCCAGCTACGTGCAACGTAAAACACAATGACAGTGTTTACTTATTGCCTCGTGTAAAGGAGCATGTTACGTATTTGTTTTTCTAATACAGAGTGAAATAGAGGTTTATAAACCAGAGTGGGTGAAAACAATTCAGTTGTTTTTCAAAGTGCAGTGGAGTGTATTATTCTTTCTCTTCAAAAATCACACCGTTTCATCCCCTGACTCATATTCGAAACATCTTTAATTTGTAGCAGGAGATCCAACGACCAATTCAAGGTTAGCTATCAAGCTAAATAATAGCGCATTGGGATTCCCAGTCAGGGTGTCATGTGACTTATTTGTCTAACAATTCAGACCCTTTATTCTGATTGACGCTTCATCTCGCACAGAAAATGATTCATGCCAGTAGACGTTAGGCGTAGGCCTACGTAGGGGGGGGGGGGGGGGGGGGAGCAGACCTCTAAAATTTCGAAAATAACCACCGATAGAATATTCAGAGTATTTTAAGTACCCCAGAACATATCTTGGCTCATATTTGGGTAGCTAGCGAAATCATTTATGTATTGTTGATGAAATATTCTTACCATCCCAGAAGGAAAAAACAGTTACCACCAGTTGACATTTCCAACTGGTTCCAGTTAACTTCAACTGGAACCAGTTAGATTCAACTGGAACCAGTTAAATTAAGCTGGTTTCAGTTGATTCTAACTGGTCCATGATGCACATCAAGCGAATATTTGGTGCGACTGCATTTCATTTAACTGGAACCAGTCCTTAATGACCAGTTACACCAGTTGATAACTGCAGGTCTGTTTCCAAACGTTTAGTTGCACCAGTTGATAACTGGTCTGTGCATGGCATATTTCCAGTTGCACCAGTTGATAACTGGTCTGTGGGCATATTTCCAGTTGCACCAGTTGATAACTGGTCCGTGGGCATATTTCCAGTTGGTCAGTTGATAACTGGTCTGTGTATTTCAACTGCACCAGTTAGAAATTGACCAGTTGAATTTGACCAGTTGAATTCCAACTGGACCAGTTAGAATTTGACCAGTTGAATTTGACCAGTTGACTTTGACCAGTTGGAATTCAAGTTTTTGTAACTTTTTTGATGATCCAACCACTTCGTAATTTCCTTTAGTGTATTTTCCATTTTAGTGGTTTATCTATGTTTGCAAGAAACTATTGTATTCTTTGCCTTTGTATGTTTTTATGAAAGTGGTGAATAAATTCAATTCAAAAATTCAACTGGTCAAAGTCTAACTGGTCCAGTTGAAATTCAATTGGTCAAATTCTAACTGGTCTGTGGGCTAATTTCCAGTTGACACCAGCTAATTTGCATAATGGATATGGGGTGCGTGTAATTGTTTCAAAACAATTTATCTGAATTTACAGCATATTTCTTATTTACTGATGATTTAGTTTTGTGCAATTCATTTCGAAAATACTACAAAATATGAATTGCCAATTATTCGGACATTTCACTACTTCGTATAAATAACATTTAAACAAACATGAATTAGGGAAAGCATCAACTATGAACTAAAATAAGTTCAATAAAATACAAGTGTATGGAAAATAAATTGTGTTATGTATTAACCAAGTCCCCTAATTACCAATACCTTTACATTAGAAATTTCAGACAAACTGGTATTACTGTGTTGTTGCGAATGGCAAAATTAATTAGTAAAAGTGATACTTTATACCTTTAATTACTAATTAAGATTTTCAACGTGAGGTTTTAACTGGTTGGAAGTTTTGCCAAATGGTCTAACTGGTCCAGTTAAATCCAACTGGTAACCCTGGAAATTGAAATGGGCCAGTTGACCCAGACCAGTGGAATTCTTACTGGACCAGTTAGAATTTGACCATTTGAATTCCTACTGGACCAGTTAGAATTTTACCAGTTGAATTCCAACTGGACCAGTTAGAATTTGACCAGTTGAATTCCTACAGGACCAGTTAGAATTCAACTGGTCCTGGTCAACTGGCACATTTCAATATCCAGGGTTACCAGTGGGCTTCAACTGGTTCAACTCGACCAGTTGCAACTGGTTTCCTTCTGGGATTGTGATTTATTTATTTTTGCTTACCAGACGTAAAATTATACTATGGAAAGCTGATATTCGGCATGCAATATAAGTTAGCTACCTCTCCAACCTTCGCATTATGTGCAGCACAAGGCCATCCATCGCCTTGAACACTAGTTATTTT